CCTCTGGGTGCGTGCTTAGTCCCCTCCTGTACTCCCTGTACACCCATCACCCACAACTGCGTGGCCGCACACAACTCCAACACCATCATTAAGTTTGACGACGAGACGACGGTGGTAGGTCTGATCACCGACGACGATGAGACAGCCTATAGGGAGGAGGTCAGAGACCTGGCAGTGTGGTGCCAGGACAACAATCTCTCCCTCAATGTCAGCAAGACAAAGGAGCTGATTGTGGAACACAGGAAATGGAGGGCTGAGTACGCCCCCATTCACATTCAAGGGGCTGTAGTGGAGCGGGTCGAGAGCTTCAAGTGTCCACATTACTAAGGACCTATCATGGTCCAAACATAAATCCTCAAAAACGTCTACAGCTGCACCATTGAGAGCATCTTGACTGGCTGCATCACTGCTTGGTATGGCAAACTGCCTGGTAGCCGATCATAAGGCGCTACAGAGGGTAGTGCGTAAGCCCAGTACATCACTGGGTCCGAGCTCCCTGCCATCCAGGACCTCTATACCAGGCGGTGTCAGAGGAAGGCCCTAAAAATTTTAAAGACTCCAGCCTCTGATCAGTTAATCAGTTAATCAAATGGCTAACCGGACTATTTGCATTGATCCCCTTTTTTTTGGGCTCTCTTGCACTGGCTTTATGCACACTCACTGGACCCGCACACACACACACTCACTACACACGCTCACATGCTCACACATAGGCACACTTTCACACTCTAAACTTACGCTGCTGCTACTCTGTTAATTATCAATTTTAGCCCTACCTACATGTACATATTACCTCAATAACCTCAACTACCTTGTACCCCTGCACATTGACTCAGTACCGGTACTCCTTGTATACAGCCTCGTTATTTTATTGTGTTACCATTTCCTTTTTTCCGTATCTTTAGCACATTTTTCGTACTTTTTAACTGCATTGTTGGGTAAGGGCTCGTAAACATTTCACAGTAAAGTCTATACCTGTTGTATGTGGCGCATGTGACAAGTAATATTTGATTCAGTGACCTGACAAACCATGCATAATTTATGAAAGGCATTGTCAATACTTTTGATGGATTTTTTTCTCTCTCTGTGCTGTTATCGATTGACAGATTTATTACCACTATTTCATGTTGTTTCATGTGGGCTTCGTGCTTTGTTTCATGCAAACTATTTTCCAAGCCGATACTAGCCAGGCCAGGGTGTAGCACTGATTGCACCCCCCAGTGTTGAAGCAGGGCAGCTCAAGGCAGCATACAGCAGCTCTCAATCATGATGGGGGACTGCTTGAAACACAGCGCCCTGAGGAATAATGGTTATTTTGCGTGTGTGTGTGCATGCGTGTGTGTACTGCACAGTACAGTATTTGACTTGATTATTGGGGGGGGGATGGGGTGCTTGCTGGAAGTGAGGGAGAGGCAACAGTTTCCCTGACAACGTCAGTAGCTGTCAACACCTCTGTCTTAATAGTGACAAATGGTACTTATTACGTCAGCGTTAATTTCCCCCCATCTCCTTCAGATGAAGATACTTAGCCTGCACTGATCAAATTGTGTCAGCATAATTACTAAGAACAGACCCTATTAAAAGCCAGGGCTTCAGATTCAGCGTCTAGTCTCATGGTTAGGTCTATCATTCAGCTGCATCTCTGGGAGGCTGATGTAGACAAGCCTTATACTAATGTCCTTAAATCCAGAATTCTACTCACTCAGACAGAAATACTGTAGGAGGACAGGCTAGGGGGTAATGGACATAGGGCTCAATTCAATGGAACTGCACTGCTGTATTTACAGTACATAGGAGCTTTTTTCCATGGTCAAATAAAATCACAGGATGGTTTTGGTTCTGATAAAAACCTATTTATCTTACCAAGTAGACTCCCTTCACAGGTGCTTCCAGTTGTGTGTGTATGTGTGGGCAGTAATTTGTCAACAAATGCATTGTAAGATAGTGTGTACCCTTATTACTATGAAATTATTAACGGGGCACCAGTCCTTTCTCTTCGAAGAAGACCTGACACATTACTTATTTACAATAACTCTATAAGACTCAAATTTGAATAATAGTAATACATTGATTAATCTGAAGGTATGAATTCTTTAATAATCTATTGGAGTTCTTTCCCAGAAACAAACAAACACAATT